CGCTCAAAATCCGAAAGTTGACTCCTTTTAGACATATTTTTTAAAAAAAGATTTTTTTATTTTCAAACTATTTGTAATTGCACCTACATGAGAAAAAAAAAATTTTTTATTTATATGCATTAGTTGTGGTATAATTCAAATTTTAATATGTTAGGATTTGCAATGATCGATGGATGGTCAGATATTTTTTAGAGGGGAGTGTACATTACAAGATCTATCAAGGTGAAGTCAACTTTAATGAACTTGTGTAAAGTTCATATGATTGTCATAAAACTAGAAAATAAACATAAATCTAAACAAATTAAAGTAGTACTAAAATGATAATATGATAACTTTCACGATAATCAATCAAAAATATTTGATTCTATTCTTGATAAAAAGTATCAAACAATCATTCTAAATTGATGTTTAGACAACTCTGTGAATGATTTTAGCTTACTAACTTCAGCAGACAAAGTCAAACGAGAAATAAACAGACACTTCCAACAAACCACTGGTACATGCCATCATTATATTTCACTCACAGTTAAATAGGCATCCTGGTATGAACCACTCTCATCTATAAATAAGTTAATCTATAAGCATCTTATAGACCTGCCTAGTGAAAATAAATAGTACAACTTTCTTAAAACATTATCAAACGATAAAGCTCCTAGCCCCTTTAAAATTTTCTATGAATGCTAAAACACTTAGGTTCTAAAATAAATAAAATCATATGGATGCTAACTTATGCCTACCTAACCCTATCCTATATGTCTGATCGATAGAATCTTATGTTTATATATCTAATTCTTAAACTCAAACTATAGAAATATAACCTTAACAATACTTATCCTATCACATTATTAGAATACTTATGAAAAGCACTAGTTAAATTAATTAACAAACATTTACTAGATATATTATTGAAAGAATATATTTTCAAAAGCTACAACTTTGTGGAATTATCCTTCTGCTTTACTTTTGAACCTATCTACATCTTAGACAATATTAAATATGACCACTTTTCCAATGACAACAAACACCTTTGAATATTATTTTAAGATATGTTTAAAGCTTACGATTGTATAAATTTAGCTACACTTCTTCGTATACTTAATCATTAAACTTTCACATATTTTTTTGAATTTTGTAGTTTTACTATTCTCAAATCAATTTAATCAGATTTTTACAGCTTATAGTAATACTGAGCTATATCCTGTATTTTTCAGAATTGATCAAGAAGAAATTATTTCTCCTATCTTATAATGTATATATTATGATTCTCTTCTATGTCGTGTTCAAAGTATCTCACTTGGCTATGATCTTAATGCCAAGTGGTGCCTTAATGTTAATTGTTTAATGATCTCTTTAACCTCAACACATGTATTCGCACTTACTTATACAGATGATACACTATAGATTAGCAAATCTAAAGAGAACTTAGAGTCAATTTTATCAATTGCAGATGATTTTTACAAATTTAACAGTATTTTTGTCAATTGGAATAAATCAGTTCTCTTAACTTCTATCCTCCTTAATAATCCAGTATACTTTAGGCTTACTACAATGAAGAATAGATCACACTGCTAGATTCTAAACTTTTAACTCATTATTTGAACATCTGAATTTCTTTATTACCAAATAGCTCATTTATCCGTCAACAAGTCTGCAATGAGATTATCACTACTGCACTGACTATGAAAAATAAATACATTATGAACAAATCATTTTTAATTCTGTTCTGCTACCACGTATTTTGTACTATTCACAATTAATTTTTCTTGATTATAAATTCTGTGATAGAATCATGAAAATCTACAGAAAAATTTTTCAATCAACTATATATATGACCAAAAGTACCCTATCAGTTATCATTCATTTTTCATTATTTTATAGTATTACCTATCTATTTTTAGCTTAAATTTAAGCAAAAGTCGCTAACTTTATAAAGATAATTAATAATAAAGAACTTCTGAGAACTACAGCATTGATTCGTAGTCATCATTATCAAAATAATGAATGGTTAGTTCAATCACTACTTGCTACATAACTATATGACTCCTCTTATAAGTTCAAAGACTGGTGGTCTGCTCTTTTATTAACCCTTAAATCTCTTAATACTATAATTGCGAATAGCTGAATGAATGATAATGCTATTATTAGAGAACACGTTCCTCTAATAGAGGTATATAGTCTAACACTATTCAAGAAATTCGCTGATAAATTGAGAAAGAAAAACCTATTGTTTATCAATCAAATAATCACATCTGTTGGTATAGCCCTTTTTACTCTACCTGACCTAAAATACTTGTTAGCCGTCCTTATATTTTCTAAACCACTGACTTGGTTCATTAAACTTCAAAATAAATTACTGCTCAATGATTCCAACAGAAATATTCCAGCACAATTCCAACATCCATATGATAACAGAATCCAAACTAGATCACTAATTCACATTGAAAATATAACATACTTTACTATTGGTTAACATCTCCCCTCTAATGCAGCTATTATTAGTAAAGTATTCAAAATTGAATCTAACGTTATTCATATTCAACATTTTTACTTCAAGCAGAAATCTTATGAAAAACAGTTCTTATAACATGCAATAGCTGCCCTATTAACAATTATACCACGTTTATACCTTTAATATGAGAAATAAATATAATTCATATTTTGTTAAAATAGCTCTTCCTTTATGTTCATTTTTATATGCTTTACTAATCTGGAGTAATGATTATCTGTGTCCTTTATCCCTTTACATAATTTTTAAAATAGCGTTTTATAATTACAAAATATTCCTAGACCTATCCTTAAACATTGAACTTACTTCTTCCTTTAATATTGTTATCTCTTCTAATATATTTACCTCTGATGTAGCAATCCAATTAAACAATTTTACAAATTTATATTCACAATCATCTAACCTCTCATTTTATACTGATGGTTCTCTTTCCAATTTAGGTAGCTCTGCACCAGATATGAGAATTGTCTAGTTACAAGTTAATTCTTAAGAACTCCTTCACTTTTTTAATACCTCCCTTTCACTCCCCCAACCCTCTTCGTCACTAGTAAAATTAATTATAATTTTTAGCTGTAATTTTCTTTTCACCAGTTAATGCTGATATTAACATTTTTACAAATTCATAAATCACCATTTCCTCCTACTCAAAAATGAGTTACTTCCTCACATATGCTTTACTTATAATTCTATGTTTAAAATTTCATATTATCCTATCTGGTGTTTACTCTTCCATCTTCTTAATAACAAATATATCACTATTATACTTCAAAAAGTTAAAGCATATACTAATGATCACTATAATAATGAAGTTGATAAACTTGCCAAAATTACTAGTCCATATATGACTATTATACCATCTGAGCTAAGATATGATTATATGCTCATATTTGATAACAAAGTTATTCTAACATCACCAAGATATTTTGTCAAAGATCTTTTCCAATCTATAGACTTCAAAAATATCCAATTACTTTCACACTTTCATAAATACTTTGCATTAGACATAGACTGGATCAGCACTGCCTTTGTTCTAAATGACAATAAAAGTGCCAGAGTTATATTTTATAAAGTCTTCTTAATTCATAAATTCAAAATTAAACTTTTGCTTAAGCTTCTTCTAACACTTAAAGTGCTTATCCTACTTTATATAATACATCATGATTTTATTTCAAATATCTGATTGAATTAGAAACTTTTAAGCATATCTGACAATACTCTACTACCTCATATCAACTTAATGACATTATTTTAGATACTATTACATTCTTATCTCAACATTTATATGAGTTGAATCCTCATTTCGATATCTTAGATATTATATCTATAGATATTTGAAACCTTAACTCAATTGATTCATCCTTCAGCTTTGTGAACTTTATCAAAGGCATCGTCCTATCTCTACTTTATAAAACATTATATCAAATAATCAACAATAAATCACTTGCTCTTAGATTACTCTTCTTAGCTTATCATTTCACATATGCTAAAATTAAATCCTTTTGACTTGATCACTGCTTTACCTTTAATCAGTTTGAGATTGCTTACAACATATCTCTCGCTGAATAGAAAATTAATTTTGCATTCATTAGTTTTCATAATTCTATTTCCCATTTATTTAACATTTCATCTTCATTTTACAAATCCTTTTATTTTGATTCTAATTGGTCAAATTTTTGGATTAGTAGTAACCAGACCCCTGGTATTGGATAATTAAGCCTATTTTAAATTAGTTTAGGATAGGTTAGTCTGAAACAGTACAAAGTTGATTTTGATTTAATCTTATTAAATAGAATTTCTGTACTCTTTCATTTGTAATTTATAAATTCTTTTTACTTTACTTTTAATAAAGATTGTGCAGAGCTACCGCATATAAAAAAAAAAGTTTAGCAATATAAAAATTTACTGTAAACAGTTGACTAAAGTATCCCCTAAGTATTATACCCTTCCTGCATTTTTAAAAGCGAAAAATGTATTGTATCCAGGATACAAAACACTAATAAATAAATTATTTTTTCACAAAAAATGTATTGTATCTAGGAATACAATACTTAAATCAAAATATTTTTATTTTTAAGATAAAATTTGATTTATTTGAAATATATATGATATATAAAAAATTCAATACAAAAAAAAAATTCAAAAAAAAAATTAATTTCAAACATTTTCATAATTTGGCAATTCCTCTTCATCATATTCATTAAATTCTAAGTCATCTAATAGAAAATTATTTTCAGATTCATTATCAGATTCATCAATTTCTATTTTATCTTCATGGTAAATATTATTTTTTTTATTCTTTTTGTTATTCTTTTTTTTAGATAAAGAATCATAATCAAATAATAAATGATCTTCACTTTAATCTTTAGCTACCAATACTTCACAACATTTAAATAATTTGTAAATTAAAATAGTATTAACATCATTCCATGAATCTATAATCCATTAGTAATAAAAGAATATGATAGTTTTTTAATACGTCCTGCTGGTGTTAATTGATGAATTTCTGAAGCCATCCAATCTTGATAATATTGTCTTAATTTAGATTTAAAACTTTTATTAATAGAAACATCCAATGGTTAAAGTTTACTAGTAAGACTGCTTAGAATTACTGCTATATTTGTTTGTTTTTCAATAAATCTATTCTTGACAGAATCAATTAAATGCTCTCTAAAAGAATCTAAAATTAGAAGATATCAAGGATTATCTAATATATTATGTTGATTCTATATATTTTTAATTCATCATAACATTTTATTTTTATTCATCTATCCCTTTTCATTTATATAAATGTTAATACCTTGAGGAAATTGCTCTCTTAGAATATTTTTTAATTTAAAAATACAAGTAGCTGAAAGTTTGGTACCATTAGCCAAACATGATAAAACAATAGTAAAATGAGTTTTTTCATAATCAGTTATACAAATAGTTACTGTTAATATACCACATTGATCTAATTTTATATTTGAAAGTAAATCAAAAGTAACTGGTGTCTCATTCATATTACCAATATATTTTAAAGGATAATCATATTGAATTCTTTAATATAAAATAAAACTAAGAAAACTTTATTGTTTTTGTAAAAGATTATTTGTAAGATATTGCATAATATAAGTTTGTCAATGTATCGTAAAATTAAATCTTTTCATAAAACCTTCTAATTATGTTATTGAAAATTTAAAGTTATTAATATTTGGATAAAGATTAAGATAATCTTTAGCAATAGATTTAGCCTTTTTAATAATCATATTTTGCGTAATTGCTTTTGCTGTTTGACGCATATCTGTTACCCATAAAGAAAATTTTTTTCAAGTTCTAGAAGATGTGCTTCCCTTCTTTTATACAGTTTTTGAATATAAGGAGCTGCATTTTTTAATTGATTTTTTTAGTTTTCTAATATCGTATTTGTTTAGGCTCAACTTCAAATTTTTTGATCGCCAACCTATTACTTTCATATTGTTCAGCATAATGGATAATAAGCAACTTTTCTCTTGCACATCACTACCTTTTTTTTTTTAAAATAATACAAGATTTTTTATGAGAACCCTTATGATGTACTACCATTTTTTTTTGAAAAAAAAAAGGAACGCATTTAAAAAAATAATGTAAAATTAATTTATTTGCATTATATCTTAATCTAATTTTAATTTCAAACTTAGAAACTCATAACTAAAATTCTCCAATCACATTCTCTTCAAAAATAGCATCCAGTTCTACTAAAATTCATCAGTAATGTTGATTTAATTTTTTTTTCTTTCTATCAACTTGTTTGTTATTAGTAAATAACTTTAGTTTTAATTTTTTAGAATTAGTTAAGAGAAACTATCAGGTTTGGTTACTTTAGACAATTTAAAATTAATAGATAAAATTTAAACTAGAATAATTTAAACTAGAACAAAGTTTAAATAAAAAAAAATTTTGAACAGGTCAAAAAATTATTTTATTGACAAATTTTAATGTGTAAAAATTTGTTATATTATATTAGTTTTGGCAAATATTCTTATATCCTCTCACTTGATTAAAGTACTCTCTATAGTATTGTATCCTGAAGTTTAAGGAAATTGTATTGTATCTAAGGTATCTTAGTCAACTATTTACAGTAATATAAAACTAAAATAAATTTATATTATATGAACTAAAAATCTTAACTTAAAAATGTAGTATTACATATATAAAAACTATAAAGATAAAGATGCTATACTTTAAAAATTTAAAAAATTCTTTTTGAATAGTAAAACTAGTAGAAATTAACAAACTAGATAAACTTGACAAATTAAATAATTTTAACAAAACTATCAAAACTGACAAAACTATCAATAATAATATAGCTATTATTATTGTTATTTTTATTATTATTATTACTTATTTCATAATTAGTATATTTAATATTATTAATATATATATTAATCTTATTTAATATTATAATTATTGTTAATAATGTCTTAAATATAACTATTATCAGTAGTTTTTTTTAATTATATTTTCTTATATAAATAATATGAAAATACTTTAGAAAAAAGATAGATTTGAATATAAAATATAATTAATAATAAATAATAATAATAAACTCTAAACATATTTTACAAATATAAAATATATAACTTTATTCTTATTAACTAAATAAACTCCCTAATTAATATTATATCAAGTTAATTGGATTTAAATCACAACTATTGTATTTCTGATTTCAAATCATAATTAACTTATTTGACGGATAGAGTAATGTTAACAATAAGTATCAAATTTATGTAAGAATGCAAAAGCTATTGCATGAAATATGATAATTAGAAAAGTAAAGTTAATTTCTAAGAAGAAAATAGGTAAATTTATATCTGATTATTACTTAATTTAAATTTTAGAAGTATAGTTAGAAGTAGTATTCAGATCCAGTTTGTTAATAGGTTAATAGTTTTTTTTAATTAAGATAACATAATACTAGATTAACATAAATTTTGACCTATATCTGCCAATTTATAGGATACATATTTATATAAAAAACTCATTTAGTAGTATTAAAATCATTATATGCATTCTGTAGATTAGAAGATATAATAATTTTTTTATTAGGTTAATCTATTTCAATCTATTTTAAATCTGTTAAGATAATAGTTACTTAATAGATAATAAATAGCTTAATAGGTGATAATAGCTGATAACAGTTTTTAAACAGGTTGTCAATAGATTTTATAATATACTAAATCTAAATTCTAATAATATAATAACTTATTAATTCTTTTATATAGTAAAACTACTAATTTGTTAATTAAAAACCTGAACACTAATTAGAAGGATTTATAAAAAGATAGAATTTTTTAATAAAAAGAAAAATACATATTGCATAATATTTTTCTAATGATCTTATAGAAAAATAGTAGAGTTTTATTTTATATAGATGAATTCAATATGATTATTTTTTAAAATATATTAATAATATAGCTAAAATACCTATTATATTTAATCTACTATATTTAACTATTTTGAATCATTGTAATAGTTTAATTGTTAATATAAGAATTATCGATTATGAAAAACCAATTTTATTATTATATTAGTATATATAGCTGATAATAGAAAATTATTAGCAGTTTGTATTTTCATGCTTAAAAAAATTCTAAGAGAAATTTTTCCTCAAAAAATTTATATACATATAAATAAAAGAATAATATAATGAACAAGAAATATTTTTAATAGATTGAGAATATATAGTCTCAAAAAAATATACTTATTAACTCAAAGTCTTTATTAATTTTAAATTCTTTTTATAAAAATCATTTTAATTCAGTAAAAATAGATTTAATGAAAAATAAACAAACAAATATTACAGTTATTCTTACAAGTAAATTATAATCTTTAGATATAGCTATTAATAAAATCTTAAAGTAAATTTGTATTAGTATTACAATAAATGAATAAATTGTAAAATTCAAGTATTAATATCTACTAGAAGAATTAAACAACCTTCTTATATTATTGTAGCTGAATAGGTAAAAAAAAATCATAAAGTGATTTTATTGCTAAAGATAAAAGTAAGAATAATTTGATGTTTAATGATAGTTTAATTAATAAAAAAATGAATAGGATAAAGTTTGCAATATTAATAATTTTAATAAAGATCATGATAATAATTATAGAAAAATTGACAATAAAAGTGATAGTAGCAATAAAGAAATAATAATAGTAATAATAAAGTTAAATATATTATTAATAAATATAAAGAATAAAAAGTTACTGATTATAAGAATAAATATGAATAGGCTGAATTTTATTTGTAATACAAGTATTTTTATAATAAAATAAATAAGTTTTTATTTAATTTTAAAATTTAATATTAATTTTGTATTGTTAAATTTAAAAATTTTTAAGTTTTTTAAAAATAAAATAATATTTTATTATATTTAAGTCAATTAATATGATAAAATTCTAAACTAAGATATACTGATATATAAAGTATAATACTTTTTAAATATAATATTTCAGAAGTATAATACCTCAAATACTATATAAATTTTACAAGCATAGATCTAAATCCTTCAAATAGAATACCTAAATTTTTTACATTAATTTATAGATATAATATAATACAATAGTAGATATTTTAGTCAACTGTTTATAATAACTTATTCCTAAAGAAAACATTTAAAAATGTAATATAAGTTACGTAACTTACTCTAATTATAACTATATAATTTTAATCATAATCACATGATCTAAATTATATGATTATGAAAAGATATATAATATCAACTTTAAAAATATTTTTAAAATTTTATTACTATAAACGCAGTAATAATATGATTACTACATTACTACAATAAGATTTATATAATTTTAAATGAACAAATTACTATCTAAATTAGCAAATTATATTAATTACTAATTAATCTATATAACTGATATAATAATATTACTTTAATAGAAAAACTTTGATTTTTTTACTACAATATAGCAAAGCTTTGTAAAAACTTTGTCATTTTTATTGTATATAGATGTAATAATTAATAAATCAAAAATAATCTTAAAATATTTTTGCTATAAATTAACATAATTATTGCATAATTTTACTAATTTTTACAAAATTAAATGTTGTGTAATTACTAAATTGAACTTCTTGATAATTAAACAAGTTAATATTAAATAAATTAATTTTTAATTAATTTTGTAATTTGTATAAATTAAGGATAATACTAGTTAAATTTAACACATTTTTTAAAGAAAGTTAATATATATACCTATTATTACATAGCTTTACCTCCTATTTTATAATGTATTTATATTTAATTATTTAATAAAATATAAATAAAGAATAGATAAAAAAGATCATTTAATGTATTATTTTAGCTTCTCTTAATATATTATATTGAATATATATATATTAGAATTTCTAAAATAGGATACTTTATGAATATTTTAGTATGAAGATTGAGAAAATGTTCAAAATATTTAAGTATTATTAAATAAGTTTATAGAGTATTTCTTAATTTAAATATATATAAAAAATTAATATATAATTATTTAA